TTGAAAAAAGCGACATTACTTTCGGAACGACCTAATATGAGGTGGAAGTTTGAGGTTGACTTGTTATCCAGTGAACCGATTGGAAATGTTCCAGTTTGACTCGTAAGCTACTCAGTGAACTCCAGTCGGAAATTGAAGTACTTCGTCGAAAAGAACAGCACATTTTAGCTTTAGCTGTAGCCGATCCTACTGAAAAGGTTACAACTGCTCTGAAAGTCATGAACTTCAGCTCATTGTATATCTACAGGATGTGCTGGAAGACCAAATAGGAAAGATTCGGCGGAAAACCGTCGACCTACGGAAAATGGTGAACGAAGTCGACAATGAGTTCAGTGAATTTGCAAGAGGTATAAATTTGTTTGCATCTTTGATCAGTTATAATTGCTAACATACCTGCATGCAGTATTTAGTCTGTAAATCATCCGGAGAAGTGCGAGTCCGCAAAAACCAAATCGATCTCATAAGGAAGAAGCTGAGAGATCTCATCATTCAATTCAACGAAACACATGCTGATTATCGGTCACGAGTGTCGGGTTGGTGTCCCGCAGATGCGCCTTTGTAGTAAAGAGTTACGGATACAGTGCGAGTTCGACGTCAGCTACGAGCAGTCGGTGAAAATGTCACGGAAGAGGAGGCAGATAAAATCATTGACGCGGCCGGTCACGATGAGGTTCGATGCACATTTCGGATTATCTGATTATCCGTACCAACTTGTCATTTGGCAGCTCATGTGGTTTCCGTACCTCCTAGCTCTCATTATGAAAGATGAGTTTCTAGTGGAAGTGGTTTGAAGATGCCTGTTCCTAGAAAAGACTACTGTGGAATTCTGTAATAGGATGCGCATTTCTTAGATCTGAGAATCTCTTAAGTATTTTTTGTAGTCTTTATACCTTGGAGTCATCGCCCATCAACTTGTTAGAAAGTAAGAAAGCGATAAGTTAGCAGCCAGCACTGTCTTGGATAAATTGTAGTTTGATTGAAAGCTTGCTTGATTGCATCTGTCTGCAATGTAGCCAACAGCACAGTGCTTGTTTCTTCCATTCCAATGAAGTAGTCAGACTTGATCATCGCTTGATGATTTTTTTTTGCTCTCATAATTGAGCTCATATGAGAGTAGTGCCAGCGATAATCAACACCTGCTTCCTAAGGCATCGGTCATACCTCGTCGCTGCGCGATTTCTG